TAACATGAGTGAATTCTACAATAACTCTAGTTCCCCAGGGAATCGTCAATAATGGGAGTTTTTGGAGCACAGCTCCCATAAGACAGCATTGATTCTTCACTTCCACTTTAACAAATGTATTAAAATGTTGATAATATTGCAGTATAATTCAGTCAGTATAAACACAGATTAAGAACCTGAGCCTGCGCCCTTTGAAATCAGTGGGAATTTTGTCACTAATGTCAGTGGGATCAGGAATGGGCTCTTGAGGACCTGGATAGTTTGTTACAACCCATATATATCAATGAGTAATGAAAACCAAATCCAGAAACCTCAAGAATAGATTTATCACAAAAAAACTGACTAGTTTATCACAAATTTATCACAAATAAATTTATCACAAATAAATGAGCGGGCTCCCTGCACATTTTCAGGCATCTGGGTCCTATGCCAGATGCCAATTGGAGAGCTAACTAAGCTAAAACGGTAGGTTTTTTATCAATGCAACCATGCAATTCTCAGGAAACAACATCGTTTCACATTCAGTCATTCTGAAACTGGGACTCAGATTTCCATGGTAGAGTCTCACAAGTTCTCATAGACAAGGATACCCTAAAGTTTTAAGTGGAGCAACAGTCAAATATAAGTTTTCACTCAATTTCTTCACAGTATTTCAATCTGACGTATTTTTACTAAAACAGGGAGTGGTTTTTGGTTTTGAAACACTTGCCATGTGTCCATACCTCAATTTCTACAAAGAAAACTGGCCCAATTTTGCCAGTATTTAATCCTGCCCCTTAAATGGTGATGATATGTTTAAAGCAATGGTTCTCAACCTATTTACCATTGTGGAACACATATGCAGTTCTCTATGCATTATGTGGGCCACATCCACACAATATATATACTACCTGTAGGGCCTTCAGGATGTCACATAGGCTGCAGCTGTGTGCTGATCGGGCCACAAGTAATCCATGGGCCGCAGGTTGAGAACCATTAGTTTAAAGACTACTTTTGTTTATTTATTTGGGTGCGCTGTTGGGTTATTTTTGCTGAAGGAAAGTGAATGGTTGTTTTCAAAATATTTTTTATTTTCTCCCTGGAGGTGGGAAGGAATAGGAATACTTTCTTTTTAAAAACATTCATCAATATATTCCTATTAATAGTAAGGAAACCAAAATCTGTATATTTCACCTGAGGATTGGTACCTAATGTTAAACAGAGACAGACTCCTCTGATTTACATAACTTCTGAAATGCTTAATACTTTTGTTCGTGATGAACATGCCTAATTGGCCAAAGCCACTCTCATTTGACTATCTCTGAAGTTACATATTAACAAACAATCCACACACCAGGAGAAATATATTACAAATGTGTAAATTGATAGCGATGTATCACAGACACAGAACTGTTATCACCCCTACCATAGTTTCAATTACACCATTTACCTATCCTGCACATGTGGCTTATTAGCAACATTGTTCGATTTTCTTGCATTATGGTCAGGAATCTTAGGGATGGTATGTTATTTTCAATCTTATATTTGCATATGTGGCATGTTGTTGGGTAGATGTCCTTTAAACTATACAACCCCTCAAGGTTGTATTCCAGGCTTTATTCTTTTGCATTTTTATAATCTTTCTCGTGACAGCATCATTCATAGACCTGGGACTGATTGTAACCTCTGTGCCAATATTAGCTCACTCTAGGGGCCAGATTCTCCTCTCAGTTAAACCTGTTTTATACAGATTGTAAATCTACTGACTCCTGAGTTACACTGAAGTGAGTAAGAGCAATATCAGGTCCTAGGTATCTATTGCTAGGGATCCCAATGGGGAAGATTTATTCAGCTCACCCTTTAGATTATTCAGATCTGGGCTTGGACTACTATTTGTATCTCAAAGCCACAAGCTGACATGATACAACCATTTTTGGGCAGCCCCTCTGGATATTTGCACCTTTCATTTGTCCAGATTTTGCATCCAGCAACAGCAGATATTAGACATGTCAGTGCTCTCATTGATTCTGGGTCACTTGTAAAGCATGGAAATGTCACCATTGAGAAACCCTGTGATTACTGTGACTAAGAGATAGTTAGGCTGTCACCCATACTTACTCAGCAAGATGTGGAAACTGCTCTCCAAGCTTTGGGCTTCACTATCTCTGCTGTGTGAAGTCCAGAAGTTGCTTTGTAATTATCTATGAGCAAAAAAGCAGGTCTGCTTGCTCTGTATTCTGAGGTGGCTCTTGTCCCCCCCCCCCCCCCCCCAGCCCCTTGTTCTCCCAGGTCACCCTAGTTTATGGATGATCTGCGATAAATGAAGCAAGAGGGAAGACATCTGGAGTGACAGTAGTGGAAGTCTCATGCCAAGGCTGATTGGTTCCAACATGCAGATTTTTTAAGAACTCTGTTGCTGAGGCTCCGGGTAGAGGGCAAAAAAAAAAGTTCTTTTCCTCCACCATAGCATCTACAAAATCTCAATCAGCAAGTTCATTTTAGATGGTAGATAGTTTGGATTTACCAGGCTATCTCAGCTCAATAGCTGGTCTGAGATCTTCCCATTGAGAGGGCATTGTTTATTATTTTGCTGACAAGACTGATCACATTAGGGATAGGTTTTCTTCTTCAGTGGTCACAGTGCAAACTCCTGAGGGGACAAAGGCCTTGTCTTCTCTGCTAGAGTTTTGGCCAACAATGCTCCTGAGTTGTTGGAAGAACTTCATACCACAACCTGTGCTTTGGATCCAGAGGATTCATGTCTTTTCTGGTTGGTGAAAGGCAGTAGGGAAGTAATGGGTCCCTTTTGTGTGAAGATTGTCAAGGCCTCTTTCAGAGCGGGCAGGCTGCCTATTGCTTGCCTGGTCCAAAAGAGCTCAAGTGTGGTGACTTTGCGGGCATGCTGCAAAAGACAGCTGTTTGAGAGGCCTCCTGGAGAGAGCTGAGGATATGCATCCCACAGTGATGCAGAGGACCGGTGGCTGGCTGGCTGGCCAACCGCGTTCCTATGGAATGACTTTCAGATTGGCTGAGGTTTAAAATAATTGTGTTTATTCCATGATTAGTTATGGTAGGGTGGCCTAGAGCTGGGGATAGTCATTGTGGTAAATGAAGGGAGGGGGGGAAGTAGCTGCTTTTTATGGACACCCAGCCAGTTAGCTATAAAGTCCTTCTTGGTGACTGTTTTCTGCTTGCTTTACATGCAAAGGGTTAAAAAGTCTCCCTGGCTATTTAAAAGAAAGGGAATGGGCACCTGACCAAAAGAGCCCATGGGAGGGCTAGAACTTTTTAAAATTGGGGAAAAAAACTTCCCTTTGTTTGCTGTTGTTCTCTGGAGAGGGGGGACAGAGTAGGACAGGGCTGGAGCTATGCTGTAAAAAGCTTTAAAACCAGGTAGGAAAAGCATCAACTCATACCTCAACCCTACTTATCTGAAACCCCAGATATGTAAGTAATAAGGGAATGTCTAGGAAGATGCAATTAGGGTTATTTCTTTTATTTCTTATTGGCTTGTGGACTCCTCTGTGCTAACCCCAGATGCATTTGTTTTGCTTGTAACCTTTAAGTTGAACCTCAAGAAAGCTATCTTGATGCTTAATTTTTGTAATTGTTTCTTTTGTAACTTTTTGGATCTAGCAAAAAGCCTAAGTTCCAAATGTATTTCCTTTCTTTTTGGGATTTAATAAAATTTACCTTTTTTAAGATTAGGATTGGATTTTTGTGCCCCTAAGAGGTTTATGCATATGTTGTTTAATTAGCTTGTGGCAACAGCTGATTTCCTTTGTTATTTTCTCAGTTCTTCCCGGGAAGGGTGGTGAAAAGGCTTGAGGGTACCTCACAGGAAGGAATTCCCAAGTGTTCCTTCCTGGGTTCTCAAAAGAGCCGGGGGGAGAGCTTGCACTTGGGTGGTGGTGGCATCTAGCTATCCAAGGTCAGAGAGAAGCTGTGACCTTGGGAGTTTAATACCAGCCTGGAGTGGCCAGTATTAATTTTTAAAATCCTTGCGGGGCCCACCTTCCGCACTCAAAGTGCCAGAGTACGGAATCAGCCTTGACAGGCATCTTTATTATTTTAAAAGCTATATAAATAAATATTAGAACTAATAGAAAAATTAGGGCCAGACAAAGAATGGGCTATCCGTGGGTCACCAACAAAGGCTCACCAGCAGGCAACACAAAATGTTCCCTTTATGTTCTCCAGGTGAGCCTACCAGTTCAGGCAGTGAACGACCAGCCTCAGGAGCCTGAATTACCTCTCACTTCAACCAGTGTAAATCAGGAATAACTCCACTGACGTTAATGTCCCTTCCCCAGTGCAAATCTATTACAAAAGGGCAGGTGGGAATTCATTACTGAGCTATAACCAGTGGAGTTGATAAGGTGGGGCAGGCAGGGATGAATTGCACTTGGCACAAGGGAGGTGCAGAGTTAGCTACACCAGTTTTGTGCCCAAATCCTGTGCAGCAGGACTCCCGAGCATAGGGCATTCCTTTACTCTGTCTGTTACTCACTGCTGCAATGACCATCCGGGGCTGATCTGGTTCCACCTGCCTGGTCCTGCATAGGGGAAATGCAAAGATGCCCCTCTGAGGCCCTGCACTGTTCTATTGAATTCTCACTACAGAGGGAGAAGCATGTCCCAGAACTTGACCCTGCATCCCCCATGATACTGTGCGGCCAGTGGACTGTCAGCCAAGCAGCATCTTCCTGCATGTGCAGGTGTTTGAGTTAGAAAGAAAAGCCTCAGGAAACTGCAATATTTGGAAAATCAAAGTATTTATTATAATAAATAACAATGAAAGAGATATCAAATAAGCAGCTCTTTCAAATGTATCATTCTATAAATATTATAATAACAGTTGTAAGTTATACCATATTTCATGTAAAAGCCTCTGGTACATTTTTATAAATAAATTCACACTATTAATTTATATAAATAAATGTATAATTATTGCTGTTCAATAAATTAGCATTAAATATTAAAAGCCTGTAAATACTTTTTGCTAAAAGAACCTGAAATATTTGTTTTCTAGAGAAGGATCAATTTGACAAAAGGACGGCAACATTTCCGAGAAAGATTTTTCAAGTTAAAGACATTGGGACAGATGCAGGCAAGCACCACCGCATAGCTTTCAAAATATCCACTTGTGCTTGCGCACATAGGCCCCAATCAACAAAATACTTAAGCACTTGGTTGAAGTTGAAATGTTTGGCACTGTTAAATAACTACCACTCCAAAAGGTGCTTCTTCCTAATAGATATATGGTTTGTATCATAGCAGTGGTTTCCTGGAGGTTCTTTCAGTTTTTCCTCTTGTTTCCTCCCTTACTAGTAACAATTTTCTTCGGTGCTTCAGTGCACGCATTTTCCAGGTAATCAAAGAGCAAATCCAGCTCCCCAATTGCTTTGTTCTTTCCACTAACTCCCAACTATATAGAGAGAAAAAAAAAGAAAATTCTTTAATATCTCATTATGTCACCAAAGATTTAGATTGGAATATAATATTTTCATAGAAATAGGGCTAAATTCTGTTCACTTTACTCTTACAGATAATCCTGTTAATGTCAGTAGACATCAAGATGGAAACTACCTAATCCAAACCAATGCAATGCTGGATTGTTCCCTCCAGTCTATATTCCAGGACCTTGCCCAATTCCATTTTAAATTACTCAAGGGATGTATCAAGTGAACATAGAAATCACACAATATACAGTAGCATCATAACAGTGCTGAGGTTTGGCTTATGATGCTTTTAATATGACATCTGAGGAAGTTGTCCCTAACTGATTGCCCGATTGGCTGAACAGTCCAGCCTACAGTCTCTTTCCAATAAAAGATCACATTGTACACTACAGCAACCATGACACAGTTGGTGGAGGAAGTTTTTAAGTTCTAAAAATCTATTTATTTTCTTTTAAGGTTAAAAATTGCAATGACTTGTCTGTAGCGTTACATTCATTCAGTCATTAAGTGCACATGGTGATATCTCTATTACAGTTTGCATATCATTATAGTCTCAGTTTGGGCAATAAAGAACATAAAGTCCAGGTTACCATTTCAGGGACATACTTGCATAGCACCATTAACAAACACAGGCCCCAATCCTGCCAGTGCTTACACCTGGGAGTAATTTTATGCAAGTGAGTAAGTCTCTTAACTTCACTGGAAATATTCACTTGCTGGTTCAGAGCTATAGATAAGAAATGATCTCTATGCCAAAAATCTTACAATCTAAATAAGACAAAGGAGAAGTAGAAATGTCCCTAGCCCCCCTATCACCACTGCAGCCCTTACCCCTTAAATAATGTCTGCTCACTTTAGAAGGTTAGCTTCACAACTGTGTTTTTTTCTGCATTAAACTGTTTATAGTTTTGGATTACACAAGAGCCAACTGAAATGGGTATTTTTTCATCATTAGTCACAGCTGATAATGGGCCTAATCCAAAATTCATTGGAGTCAACAGAAAGACCCCAACTGACTTCAGTCAGCTTTGGATCAAGCTCAATAGGGACATTGGAACAACAATGAAAAATAATGACCTGGCAAATCACAGCCAATTCATTAATCTGTTAGTCTTAAAATCAGCAAAGTAAGTTATTTGTAATAGCTACTTGGGGGCCTGGCACTGGTCTTGTTAAAACAAACGTACCTGCTTAATTTTGTCTTTCATTTCTTCCAGGTTCTTTTCGACATGTTCTCTGTGTCCTGAGAATTTCTGAAAAACAAAAGCCAGGGTTTGGTTGGTGAAGGTGTGACAGTGCGGTTTTTCTGTTTCACACCTTTCTATTAATCTATTTGATTTCACAAGCCTGAATTTGGGTATCTTGATCTGAGGTTTCCTTTGATTTCAGCACCCAGTGGGTGCTCACCTTGCCACTACAGCACACTGCTAAGGCTACACTCGAAATTCAGAAGCCACCTGAGAGCAGAACGAAGGATGGGAACCAGAGACGAGAAGGTGCAGGAGAGGTAGGGTGGGAAACAGCCAGGGTCTGTAGAAGTGTGCAGTACTTACGCAGTCACTTAGCTCCGTGCTCAGAGCTGCTAAGAACTGTGCCACCTCATGGATATATGGGTAACGGTTGCTGGTCACAGAGAGAAGTACTTCGTTCACTATGATCTCTATTACCCTCTTCATCACATAGCAGCGATTAGTCTCCTACAAAACACAGAGTAGGAGGGTCACCCTATATAATAATAAACCAAGAAATGCAGCTTAGGCAGCTGGCTTTGTGCAGCGTATGTAAAGCTCACCTGGACGTTAATGTACAGCTGCTGTCCAATGAGCCTGTTGTCCGTGTCCTGGTCCGAGAGACTAGCCTGAGAGGTAGAAAGGAAGTCAGTATTCTACAACAATAGTGCAGGACACTACAACTGACACCCTGCTTTGAGTGACAGCCGCCGGATTGAGGGATTATACCTCAGAGGGGACCCCGGGTGAGATGGAGAAGGCTGAGCCTACTGGGGAGGAGGGAGAGTCAGTAGAAGTGTATAGGAGGTTGTGCTCTTCGGAGGAGCTTACTAGTTATTCCTAGAGTAATGTCCGTGGCCAGCTTTGAATGGGGCTAGGGGGAGAGAGAAATGAAAACTCTTTTTTCAAAATTTGCCAGCCCCAGGGAAAGCAGAAGAAATTTAGTGGAGTGCACAGCAGTTCATTAGAAATGAGCTATGCTTCACCAGTAGGTTATCCCTCCACAGATCGTTGAGGGAGTTGAGGGAGTTTCACAAAACTATGTATTTAGCAGGTAGTGTACTATACCTGCCTCTAAAAGCATCACTGCAGCATAAGTACATGTCCATGTAGAGGTGGGGGGCGGGGGTAGAAAGAAAGTGGAATATGGGAGGGGAGACCCATTGCAATGGAGAGGAGAGAGGACACTCAAGTACTACCATAATAGATAGATAGGTTACTATACCAGTTTGGCCAACGTGTAAGTGCGATTCCTGATGTAGGATTGCTGGAAGCTCATCTTTCTCAGTCTGCAGGAGTGACTGGCAGGAGCAAATCCTGCTCGTTTTGGAGGCATGGGGAGGGCCAGGAGAAGGAGAGGAAGACAGCAGAAGCAGAAAAAGATCCAGGCCGGGGAGCACCTCATCCAGTTCTGTATGGACACCATAGCTCAAAATCCAAAGTAGTGAGTTCAGCTGGGCCGCAGCTACAGTATTCTGCACCGATGAGAAAGAGAGACGGCCATCATCAGAGAGAGAGACTGGGTAAGACAAAGCAAGAAAGCCAGGTAGACTTCAAATCTTACCTTTGCCGGGATTCTTGTTGTGCTGTGCTGGAGTCTAGGTGCATCTTATATAGACCCATCAGCATCTTTTTCCTGGGTGTCTGGTGATGAATTAAAAATGACATCAGCAAATCTCTTACTTTCCAGCATCCTCTTCTGAGAATAACCACCACCCAAACCCACACAGAACACAACCACAAGGGCTTTGCACTCTTCCGTTTCTTATAAGTAACCCCATTTTTAATGTTGGGGTGGACAGGGGCTTTTCCTGACGTATTGTTGAAGTTACACGGATGTGAACCCGGGATGCTCTTTTGAAAAAATTGTTTATTGTAAAGTTGACAGGTTTTGTGACCTTTGTCTTGATCATAACACACCAGCTCACTCAGCAGTTTGATTTTAGACTTGATTCAATTTTGTAAACATGTTCTACATTTATACTTATTTATTATTTGTATTACTGTAGTGCCGAGAGGCATTAGTGGAGACTGGGGCCCCATTGTGCTAGGTGCTGTCAAATACACAGTCAGACGCTGTCCCTGCCCCCCAAGAGTTGGGGTCCATGCACCTGCCCAGAGCCCTACTGACATTGATGGAGTTCCGCCTGTGTCCACACAGCTCTCTTTGAAAGATCAAGGTCTAAATATAATCAATATAGTAAGACCTCATTTATAGGACCCCCCTTTGCTCCCAAATCCTCATTTTCCAAAACTGAAACATGTCCCACAGTGAGCATCATTTGCACTGAACTGCCTCACATTTGTACAACTGTTTATGTAAATGAATTCCGTGTTCTTCATTCTATTCAGATAAACCAGGGTCTTCAGAGCACAAATACTACACTTTGTGCTTAAAATAATGGTGGGGGCGGTGGAAGGGCTACAAGCTAAGGAGGAATTTAACTTTTTGTAAATATTACCCAAAATCAAATGGTAAGAAAGATGTATTATTATTCTTTATTAGGCACCGACAATATTCACAAGTAACGAATATTGAGATAGTCCATGTCCTGACGCGCTTGCAAATTAAGGCCCCAATCCTGCAGCTAACTGTGCAGGGGGCCATCCCTGTAATTGGATCCAGGGCAGGTGCAGGGCAGTTCCCTTGTACAGTCACTGGCAAACTGAGGTGTAAAAGATGGACACAGGTAAGACAAGATGAGCTGGGAGAGCGAAAGGAGAGTTAACTAAGATTATGTTTTATTTTTAATATAATGTTGTGATGGGAAGGGCACTTAATGTGGGTTAATTATAGTCCTAGGCTGGGAAAAGGAAGGAGAGGATTAGAAGATGGGAGGGCTTGAGGATTTGGCTACCCAATGGCTAAACCCAGAAGCCAACGCAGTGGCAGAGCTCATGGACAATATTGTCCTAGAACAATAACGGCATGTTCTCCCTATGTTGGTACAAACCTGGGTTTGATGGTTTTGCCCTACATCTACTGTGGAGGCAGTCTAAGACAACTAATTGGTTCTTGGAAGTCAACTTAGCAAGGAATGGGAAGGCTGGTCTACCTGTTAGCTGGCCGCATTTAGAACGGAGGTGAGAGATGATAACCTACCAACCTCGCAAGGGTTACAGTATTGGTCCACCTCGAGCGACTGAAACGTTCCTCCCCATCACAAGGTCCCCACCAGGAACAGGGGCCCCAAGATCCCAGACTTTCAAGAGATTACTATCGCCCTCCCGCAAAGGGCCAGTGGTATGTTATAACTGTGGGCAACCTGGGCACATTCAACGGGAATCCCCTACAATGGAATGCGACTAGATAGGATGCCTCTTCAGTCAAGTGGGTGAGAATCCAAACCAATCAATAGAACTGATCCCAAGGTACTTCGTGGTCTTGATAAAAATAGGGCCAAACATGGAGGAAGAATTGATAGATTTGGGGTGTGGACAAAATCTACTTCAGCTGGACTTAGTCTTACCCAAAGCCCTGGATCCTGAGCAATACGTCCAGTATTCCTGCATCCATGGAGAAATCAATACATACCCAACGACCTCTGTCATTTTGTAGGAAGCAGACCAGCTAGGGCGCCTCCAGGCAGGAGTGGCAGATTGCCTACCCTGGCCAGTGATCCTGGAATGCAACTGGGAACATCTTTGGACCCTCCTGGAAGAGAAATTGTTCCCTCCAACCCAGACCCTCTTCAGCCACAAGAGAAGACACCCTCCGCCCCTGAGGATACCTAGGACATATTTCCCCATCACTCCATCTGATCTTTTTGAAGTCTCAAGAAGGTCCCAGAGATCAGAAAAACAGCAAAAGAAGCCTTGGATGGAGGACAAGCCTGGGCCTGTGCTGGAGGCAACTCCATGGAGCCTGGAGAAGAACCTTCCCAAAGGGTGGACCCTGGGGAGGGAACATTCCAACTGTTTGTAGGTTATCCCCATCCACAGACACTGCAGGCCCCCTTCACGACCTAGACTGCAGCATCCTGAGTGACATCCGTGATGTTGTGGCAACTCAACATGACAACCAAACACTCCAGGAATGTTTCAACCAACTCCCCATAGTCAACAGGGTGGTCACCACTCAACATGCATCTCATCAGTTTCCCTGCTTTGAATTATGGGATGAGGTTTTTTTGTACAAAGTAGAGAGACATCCCCAAACTGAAGAACACAGATACCAACTCCTAGTCCCCAAGCCCATCTGACAGGAGTTCCTATGGCTACCCCATACTCTTCCCAACGGACACCTAGGTAAGGTGAAAACCCAAGAAAGATTGTTGGCCCAATTCTTTTGGCCAGGGATATATAAAGAGGTAGCCAATTTCTGTTTATCATGTCTCAGTTGCCAAAAAGTAGCCCCAAAGGATAAGGACTGGGCCCCCAGCAGTTCCCTTCCCTCATGGCAACCCCCTTTGAGGGGGTGGGGATTGATATAATAGACCCTCAGGAGAAGTTCACCTAAGGTCATTACTTTGGTACTTGTGGACTATATTGCCCAATAGCTAGAGGCAATTCGTTTATGAAACACCTTTGCCTCCACCCTAGTGTGAGAGCTACTCCAAATGTTTTACTGGGTTGGCCTTTCATCAGAAGTCATCACTGATCAAGGGATTAATTTCATATCCCAGGTGTTCCAACATGTTTGGGCACTGTTGAAAGTATGACCGCTCTGGACCTCAATCTACTTTCCCTAGACAGATATGTTAAATAAGTTTCTGGGAACAGAGGCCAAAGACAGCTGCTCCCCTATCATTTCTTTGGAGTGCAAGAGGTACCACAGTCCTCCATGGGCTTCTCCCCTTTCGAGCTTTTTAATGGGAGTCAGCCTTGAGAAAGATTAGACTTGGTTAGGAAGTTTTGGGGAGCTCATCTCCACCCACTCTACCACTGTCTTCCAATATGTCATTCAAATGAGGGAAAGGTTAGAAAGCTTGGACCACTTGGCCCAAACTAACCTCTCTCTCTCAGGCCCAATAGACCCAGATGCAACAATATGATTTCTGGGAGACTGAGTGCTCCTGCTCCCTCCCCACTCATACAGAAAGTTCCGGCCAAATGGCAGGGCCTGTATGAAGTGTTCCATGGGGTGGGACCAATAGATTACAAAATTTATTGCCCAGACCAGCAAAAACAAAGAGATTTATCATGTATCATTTATCATTAAAACCCTGGCAGGGGAGGGGTAAAGGAGATCCTTCATCCACCTGGAGGAGGAGAAGAGGATCTGGGGCCTGAGGTCCCTAAGAGGGCCAAAACTGGGATAGAGGAGATGTCACTTGGGGAGGAGCTGTCTAATGGGCAGAGAAGACAAATAAACAAGCTCCTGGGATCTTATAAGGAGGTGTTCTTCCCACTCAGGGACAAACCTTACTGGTGACTTGCCACATCCACAGAGGGCTGGGGCCAAGCCCATTTGGAAGTCATATCAAATACCAGAAGGTGTAAAACCTCTGTTAGTTCAGGAAGTCCAGGAAATGTAAAGATTGGAAGTAACTGCAGAGTTTCATAGTCCCTGGTGAAGTCTGATGGTTTTGGCACCAAAGCCAGATGGAATTGTACAATTTTGTGTTTCCAGCAGTTAAACACCATTTCTGACATCGATGCATATCCAATGCCCCAAGTCAATGATCGCCTGCTGGATCACCTCAGTCAAGCCCATTTTATCACATTAGCTCTAACTAAGGACTATTGGTAAATTCTCCTTACTCCCAACTGCTGAAAAAAAACATCTTTTCTACCCAAGTGAGCCTGTTCCAATTTGTTACCATTCCCTTTGGGCTGCCTGGGGTTCTGGCCACCTATCAAAGGCTGATGTACAAGGTGTTATGACCCCACCATCACTGTGCCATGACCTACCTAGATAATGTGGTTGTCCGGACTGGGCCACATGCCTCTGGAACCTAGCAGCCATACTTCAAGGCCTACAGGAGGCCCAGCTAACAGCAAACCCAAAGAAATGCAAGGTGGGAAAATGGGAAAAGAAATATTTGGGCTATCTAGGGAACAGTAATGTCCAAGCCCTAGTGGACAAAGTTGACACCCTAGCAAACACCCCATACAAAAAACTAAAAAGCATGTCTAGGCCTTCCTAGACCTAGCAAGGTATTATAGCAAATTTGTGCCCAATTTTGCCTTATTGGTTGTATATCTTACCAACCTTGTTAAAAAATCAGCCCCTCGACAAGTTACATGGTCCCCATGTGTGATCAAGCATTTCAAAAAATTAAACAGATTCTCTGCAGCAAGGCAGCATTGCACATCCCTGATTTCTCTCAAGAATTCAGTGTACAAAGAGACATCTGAGGTGTGGTGCTATCCCAAACTTTCCACGGACAAGACAAAACCCTTGCCTTTACAAAAGTAGATAACCTTTAGACTGGGAAACCCAGTACTCTGTCCTCAAGAAGGAATGCCTGGCGTACACTGGGTCATAAAGGCACTGAGCTACTTCCTGGTTGGAACATCCTTTGTCTTAGTCACTGATCATGCGGCACTAAGGACTCGAATGGCCTCAAAGTACTCAAATGCCTGTAGGAGACAAGTTAGTACTTACTTAGCTTTACAGCCTTTTCGATTTCAAACAGAACATTGGCCCAGGAAAGCAGATTTCCTTCCAA